ATGTCGTTGTAGTAGTCATGAAGACATGCGTGTATTAACTGGTCGATTTACAGATTGGATCAGACAGCGCTCTTTCCATTACCCAAAATTCAGATGAAACGGTGGTGAAGTCTAGTCATCATGAGGTGTGCCCTTTGAGTAGAGATAAAAGATTTGTAGATTGAACCTAAAGAACTCCTGGCAGCGTACGATGTGCAACATCAGAATGTGAAAAGGGAACAGTATTATCTACGTAACTTGTAGTCATGTCACCGTCATCTAAACAGAAGAAGGCAATGGTCATTTTCATGCCATTTTTGGTGAAAGATAGGAATGGTCGATTAGACATTTCCTACATGACATACATTGTTTGTGGTGTTTTTGAAATCATCACCTTCAGTCATTTGCATAAGCAAAACGTCTCTGCTGTGTGACATCCGCTGTATCCACAACGTTTCAACACTTTTGCTATAAGGCGCCAGTTACTTCATCGCAGAAGGAAATATTCCTCTTCGAAAGAAGGTCTGCTTCTGCCTTTTTCCTCCATGTTTCATTGTGGCCTCCTGCTCGATGTCCGTTGTGTTTCGTCTCTTGCACGAGACATTTGCTGGCTGGAGTAAATGGTGTATGTTCAATCTGTTGTCTAACGGGCTAACCACATTTTATTCATTTGCACATCTCTGCCCGGAAAAGAATATGGTCTTTCCGTACGTGGTGCTTCCATTTAACCCTCATTATGCATCGAGACCAAGGTTGCTTGGCGCAGTATAACTGCCGTTCTTGCTTCTTCATTAGAACAACAAAGTCTCCATGCTGTACAACATCAGTGACCTGACAAATGCAAGTAGCAGATTTTCACGGGAAGAGCAATTCCTTTCTCGGTCCAAATATTACATAGATTTCCATAAGTACTCGAAGCTAGGGCGATCCTCTTATTTTACTCTTACTGAACAGTACAATCGCTGGACATGACGGAGCCGACATACTTAAGTTGGCAACATCCTGAAACGCTTAACCTCTCTGTCCAACTTGTAGGTCAGCTGTGCTGAATGGGTTCCTCATAACCATCGATTTCTTGGCATTAAGAAAGAGGCCAGATTCTGTGGTGTGAGCAGCATAAGAAAGTCGTGAGATAATACGGTCCGCTCCATGTAATACTCAGAAGTACAATATCAGCTGCGTACTAAGAGACATCAAGATATCTAGCTGGGTATCTTGAACTGCGCCTTCCCTCTACAACGAGCCTTACCTTTTTGCCCGAATCAACACTGTTTCAGAGAAGAAAGTCGAGAACAATGTTGAGTAGCAAAGGTGAAAATCACATCACCCTGGCGAACTACACCTTTAACAGGGAACCATTCAGATGGCTTTTCTTTAACTCTGGTAGCAGGCAGATTCTGGATACATCCTGTCTAAAACGGAAACGATGTGCTCAGGTATCCCACAGCAGTTCAAGATTTTTCACATCGTCGCACGATGTAGTGAATCAAGTTCAACCTTGAAGTCGAGTAAACTGGCAGACCAAGGCAACTGGAATCATCGGTACTACTCGGGGTGAAAATTTGGTGTGGACAGGAGCACCCTATACAGAAGCCTGCTTGATTTTGGCGATGCTTTGTTTCAGCTGCCTGCTTCAGCCTTTTCCGGAAAATTCAAGATGGTTTTCCGAAAAATGACAGTCGTGTGATACCACATTAATTCGATCATTCGGTCACTTTTTCTGGATCCTCTATCAATCTTCGTGGTTTCCCCTCCCGCCGAATTTCCTTCTACCGCCTGTAGCTCTGGAACACTGCACGAAAGACGGTGGTTAGCTGTCTTCGAGGGTGCAGCTGAGTATTGCAAGTACTCTTTTTTGCCTGATTCATTTACTCTGTAAGGGCTAGGGTTTTCACGTAATCCAGGGCAGTTTGACTGTTCTCTTTCTGAATCATTTTTCGTCACAGGTTCGTTGAAGTCTTTGTGAACTTCACCGACGTTGCCTCTTTCCGACGCGGCAGTAAAGGTGGCATTAAAATAATGCTGTATCTCCTTTCGGTATGCTTTCCGCGCCGCTTCGTCATATTTTAACTTCTTAACATTGAGCGGGGTTTCAACGCGACAGCTTCGATGCGATGGGGCGAATTTTAGACGAAATTCGGTTACGACCACATGATGATCAAACCCAGTGTAGATGCCACGCTGGATGCGAGTCTCGACTAAGGGACTGCGTCATTTGCGGTTTATGAGTACTTGGTTCAACTGGGTGTTTAGGCTTCTGTCAGGGAGGTCCAGGCGAATGGTGAATATGCTTATAAGGGGTCCCGCCGATATTGAGCTGTTTGAGGCACCAAAGCTTAGCAGAGGTTTGTCGTTTTCATTCACGCTCTCAATATCGTGACGTGCCGAGACGCTTGGCGATGTGTTGTACCCAGAGCGCACCTTCACGTTGAGGTTGCCTGTGACACAGATGAGACTTCGTGAAGCGACAAGGCGCTAACAACCGACTACACGCAGTCATAGAAATCGTCTTTGTCACTCTCACTCAACACATTTGTAGGGGCATAAGTGAGAGTGACATTCAGCATCGCCTGTTTGACATTCACACGACTACTCAGGATTCTATTCAACACCTGTTCGACGGAAATGACGGCTCAGCTTATCCTAGTGGACAACATGATACTTAATCCAGCGCGGCGTAATCTGCTGCGGCCTGACCACCAAAATGACCACCTAACTTGTAGATCAAGTGTTTCCTTTCCTCGATAGCGATCTTCCGTGACTTCCAGTACAAAGAGTTTTTACCTAGGGTCGTGCGGTGCTTCACGTTAAACATGGTTAACGTGAACCAACCGTTTCTTGGTTCTTTGTTGAGTGGCAAGATGCAAACGGGAACCGCTCGCTGCGTAACTTTTTCCCGCGAGAACAACAAATTCGCTGCCACTCGCTAAGAAATCAATCTGACAGCATGAAAACATGTATTCCTCCAAGCCAACTGAATTCCCACATTTAGTTTAAATATTTCAATGAGCATTTATTTTATTAAATAGAAATTGTCCTTCCACATTAATTCTTCTTTTGTCAGGTTCGTTCAAAACACGGTAGGGGTATATTTTCTAAACTGTTTGCTTGCGTCATTGCTCAACCAAAAAGTTATGATTTCAGCGCGATCAAGGTGGTTCCCACGGGAGTCAGTAAATCGGCCAAAAAGCTGCTTCGCAGAAAGGTACCTGATTTGGGCAGATACAAAGACATTAGCGATTATTTCATAAAGTAAGTTTCAAATTTTGACAATAGTTAATACGGCGTTTCTTTTGAAATCAGGCCTGAAAACTTGAGCGAAAGCGAATATGAAGGCGATGGCGCCGCAGATGAGGTCGAGCTGCCCCAAAACATGTCCGGTCCCGGCTGCAGCAAGTCTTCACAAGTGGCAGTCAGGTGTGTACATTAAATAAATTTTTATTTTAAATTTACGTTTAAACCTTATACCGTTTTGGTTATCAAGTTGATCAAGGCGTATCGCGTACACGTTAAACAGCTTTGCTGTATGTCCCGCTTGCTTTGGCACGACTACACCAAAACACTAAGTTGGGCATATTATCAGCCGGTTAACTTGCTTCCCGTTTTCCGATTAGCTGTACCGAAGAGCATATTGGGGTAAATTCTTTACTCGATAGAATTATTGCAATTAATGTCAAAAAAAATTTACATCGCATGTGCTGTTTGAAGCCAGGACTTCATAGGTGCAAAGCAAACTATTATGCTATTGCACCATTGCCCCCTCCCACCCCCCAAATCATTTGATAGCATTGGTCAACGTGCTAATGTATATTGTGTGTTTGCGTTTCAAGATTGCAGTTACATAAATATGTAGAAAGGAACTAACCATTGAGCTAAGTTCCTGTTAAAAATGAACGATGTGGTCAGATCAGCTGAAACGATTTAAGTTAGATTTGCGGTTAGCATCGAGCAAAACAAAAAGCGTTAAAAATTAGCGAAAAAAGAAACAAGATAGGTCTTTCTGTCACAGTAATTTGCTAGTGAATTATTCTGTTCTATTTATGATAGAACGTTCTTGTGGTGTCCCAAAGATAGTACTTAAAGTTCTACACAGTACT